CATTGCAGGGATTCTTTCCTGTGCAAAGAAAAAAAACAACAGTGATCAACAATCTAATTTCTCCTTACAACATCGATACATTGTTAATCGGACAGGTGTTCAGAATAACGAAAATAATGTACCAAGGAATAATGTTTTGTTGCAACATCAAATTTCCAAATTCCTGAGATCATATGTGGGCCTTAAAACGCGAAAGATAGCTTTTTCTCTGCTGGAAGCCGAAGAGTTCGTCAGAGATTTTGTCCCAAATGTCCCAGTTGACGTTTCATACCCCGATGATTTCGGTTTCCATCTCGAGTTTTTTATAAGTTACAGGTCACGCTATTTTTATGGTTCATACTCTTTAAGATAACATCTCTCGACCAATGAGCGAGCGACAATCCTCTCAGTTACTGTAAAATGTTTAACTAACCTGATGGCTGCCTCTGCTGATGAAACACGGCAACATTCATTACGTCTCGCAGATTAACCGCCAATTCAACTTCTTCGCCTCCAGTGAACTTATTTGTCCTGAACAATTTTCCACTTTCCCAGTCTGTCCAATACACATTGTCCTGGAAGAGAGAGATTCCGAAGGGATGTTCCAGAGACCCACTTTTTAAAACAATTCTACGATGGTTTCCATTGAGATCCGCCGATTCGATGGTGTCACTGAGTCCCGGTTTCGCGTCAGTCCACCAGATTCTGTTTAAAGTGTAGTCTATCGTCAATCCATTGGGCCAAACAATGTTTTTGTTCACGATAACTTGGCGTGATTTGGGTTCACCGTTCATTCCACATTTTTCGATTTTCGATTTATCACCCCAGTCAGTCCAGAACATATAACTGAAAGATAAACAAGAAAGCTCATCTACTGCAATCCTACAGGCATACCATGTTTTTATCTTGTATGGTCACAAGATAGACAACGAAAAAATATTTTTAAAAGCAAACTATGACATCGGATTCCCATACAAACAATGTTATATCTGGTATGTTTGACTTCCAGATACAAAACACCCAAAACCACGCAAAGTTGTATTACAATCAGGCCGCAAAGCGCAACATGGAATGTAAATGCGCCTACAAAATCCCCGGGCCCGGGGGAGGGGACTCCCCATAACAGCCTATACGGGGAGGCACCGCCCGAAAGGGTACCTTTTTCAACCTTCAGGTATATGAAAGGACAGGGATTTCACAAGATGAGGTATATGAAAGGGGAGGGAAGTCTGTCATTTAGACAAAACGTGAACGGTACCTGAATATATGAAAACTGTTTTTTGGTTAACATCTCTGCTGGTAATGCTTAATGTTCTTCCGTAGTATTGTTCGTTGACTTGATTCCAAGGGTTTAGAAAAAGGATGCAGTGTTCTTAAATAGGTACGTGAAAGGGTACCTTTTTTTCAATAAAAGGCATACGAAAGGGCTGCCTTTTCTGTCAAAAGGGCATACAAATGGGTAAGGGGTTGAACCTCGGGGCGGAGCCTCCCCGTACAAAACTTTGTAGAGTATCCCCCCCCCCTCTCCCCGGGGGCACAGAATAATTACCCGATAAAAGGATGCACTGCTATGGCTCTGGGTTTCAAAAGGCCTGACTGTACAAGGCTCAGTCGATTTTCACCATTTAAATCAGCTACTTCAATCCTAAGCGTTCCTGAATCTGTCCAGTACAGCTTCTTGTTGATCCAATCTACAGCAATTCCTTCAGGCATGCTGAGATCTTCTTTGATAATCACTTCAACATCAGAGCCATTTTTCACGTCTGCCCTTTGAATAGTCTCACTTGTTATCTCACTCCAGTAAATATTTCCTCCGTCAAAGTCGAAGTCCAAAGCAACCGCAACTTTCTGATCAGAGATCAATAGATCTTGATGTGTTGTATTAAATCGAACACGGCGTATATCATTTCGGTTTGAAATTAAAATGAATCCTTCATCGCCTGAAAAAAGAGAAAAACAAAGGTATTATTATGGATTTGAAGACACGTTTCACGGATGGATCAAATTCCCGCTCACTTGATGGAGACTGGATGTGTCTTCTGAGCCGAAACTTTGTTAAAACACGTTTTATTTTAACAGTTTATGGAGTTTTAGTTTGCGCGGGCTTGAACGTTTTTGTACTTTGGCAGAACACTTGTGAATAGGAAAAAAACGATATTTTGTGTGGGATGTGTGATTTTTCAAAGAATAAGATGCTTAAAAAGGTACTATTTCGGATTTTTTCCCCTTCAATGTCAGGAATATGTTTGTGCGGAGTACAGGGTTTTATACATTATGTTCAAAGTTTTCACTATTATGCTAATACTCGGTGCTGAAATATCGAACTATCTTATGTTTGAAAAGAGTCACTACTATGCCTCACTGTAATCCTCCATTGCTCTATCTTGGTTTCTAATTATGAAAATGAGTTTTCTAGTCATGAAAAAACTTGCTCTGATGAACCAAAAGAAGACTGAATTGGCAAAACCTGTTGGCATGTACCGTGTGTACTGTGTCTTCAAGTGACTGGTGCCCAGATTTCTCTTGGCCTGCCCCAGGCCCCCAACCGTCCCCCAGGTTTTGTCACTATTATTCCGGCATAATGCTTACTATTTATGCTCAAATTAATGCCGCACAAAGAGTAAAATCCTAGCGGAGAATTCTGATCATTTTGAGGTAATAATTTTCGTAACGTTTCCTACAAAAAAACCCACAAACCCCAAAAATATCGTAGTGGGATAACAAGAATTGGTGGTAGCAAACAATTTATTCTAGTTGATGAATTCGGACATTCTCATCAGCTCCCTGATTGACAATGTATGGATACTGTAAGGAGAAATTAGACGTTCATCACTCTTGTTTATAAAGATGCTCGTCAGTGGAACCATTTCTTACCTAAAACGCGGCATGTTGTATTGTCTGATGTTAACTCGTATCCTTCAGCGCATTTACAACTGTAAACACCTTCGTTAAATGAACAACCTTGACTGCAGCCTCTGTGGATTTGACATCTTTCCTCATCTACAAAAATAAAATAATTATTAGCCAAGGCTTAAAAAGAACTTCGTTGAAGTCTAAAAAAGCTTTAAGGGGCTATGTCACGGTTTGCGTATCTTAAAAAGTTTAGCTTAAATTATTCAAGTTCTTTGTTTGCAATCCGTGTTAATCTTCTCCATCCTTCACCATCCTTGCTCCTTTATGGTTTATTGTTATCTCTTTGATGTCTTTCTATCTTAGTAAACTATGTATTTTCAGGTTTCCTTCAATTTAAAGGTAATTTTGTATGAGGCCAAAGTAACTCAAAATACCGCGACTGAGCTCCTTTACGTCACTTGTTAAGTCGCACTCGGAGAACCGAAGCTTATCCTAGTTTCTGTAGTATGAAGAAATGTAGGATTATTACTATTCCCCTGGGTCCCAGGGTGGGATGTTTATGCACCGCAGGTCAATCCGCCGCACTTATCCCCCATCCCAGTATTTTGCCAGCGTGCACTGTATTGTGTCTTGCCCATTTGGCGTCTTTTCGAGACTAACTATGCAAGGGAAAACTTCTAATTCTTAGGTTCATTTGTAGCTGGAAGCTTTCCACAGCTCAACTACTCTTCATACAAAACTGAACAACAGCATCAACAAGTCGACACAGTCGAAGAGATCAGAGGAAAAGGTGAGAAAAACGAAGAGGGTATTTAATGGCGGGAATACCAACCCGTCTGATTGCCTTCTGAACACAAAGGGTTAAATACCGTTATCACTTAAAAAGGCACGAGAAATTCATGTTATTGATACATCAATGATTTTTTTCTCCAGTCATATAATTACCTAAAAATGGTATTCACCTCTGTAAGGGTGCTATAAAAGCATAAACATGATATTCAATTCTGCAAAGGTGATATAAAAGCATAAACATGGTATTCACTTCAACAAAGTTGCTATAAAAACAGTAGCATGTTTAGTGACCAAAAACAACAACAAAAGAAACAATAAAAACACAGATTTTGGTTTTTAATGTTATCGAAGTGGCTTCAGCAACGTACAACCTTTCTTAGGCATTGCTTTACACCAATAAATAACGCCGGGTTCATAATATGTACAAAAACATACAATTGATGCAGTTGTCGCATGATAATTAATTTTGAACTTGTAGTAACCAAGGTCGTATGTACATCTTTCAGTATGAATAAATAATCTCATTTTAAATAGAGAAAATAAATAGAATAAATAGCTTTGAAGAACTAAATTGATAAATATTTTACGCAGTAAAAATAACTTCACTTAAACTAGTACTGTCCGCACTGTTCGTGTCAAAGTTCATTTTCTCTTTTTCAATCTTAACAGTAACTTTGCAGACGAAGAATTAATAATCTGAGTTAAAACTAAAGCAAGTTTCATAGTTCTAAAGCTTCTAATTAGTGTCACAGATTTAATGGGCCAATGTTCCTTATCACATTACGCCTCCAGCCACTAATTAGAAAATCTCTTCATTGTTTCATCAGGTAGTTAATTAAATAATGGTACCCACTGAAGCCACAGCATGAACTCCCAGAAAGATACTTTTCCATTTTCGTCTTTGTCCATTTTCGCGAAGGCTTTATCCATGTTGATGGTTTCATAACCAAAAAACTTCATCATCCGTTCAAACTGAGCTCGGTCGAGCGTGTCGCTGTCATCTGTGTCAAACCTCTTGAAATAGTGGAACGCTTTGCACAGGCTGTGAAACTTCTCTTTGTTGTTTAAAACTTCGAAATGTTCCTCGCTACGAAGCCAGTCGCTGAATTCTTCAAACGATATGTCGTGGTCACCATTCTTGTCCAACAGCAGAAAGTAAAGCCAGGATTTTTCACGGTCGAGGCCTAAATCTCCTTCTAACAGAGTTTGCATTTCTTGTTGTTCTAGTTTACCGTTTCCATTTATGTCGTATTTGTCGAAGAGACTTCGAATGGCTATAGCAGGGGCATTTTTGTCGAAATAACTGAATCCGGCCTGCATTTTCGAAATATCGTTCAGAGTCAAACAAGAAGTTCTTCTGTTCGGTTTTGTGCAAGAAGTGTATAACATGCTCGGTTATATAGCAATCAGAACTGCAAACCCTGTCTAAAAATAGCATTGCACACTAGTCTCGTGTAACCTTCCTGCAGTTCTTGGAAAGGAAATGAAATCTCGGTATTCAGAGGGCTTGGTTACTGAATAATAGCTTTGAGGCGCAGCCTGTTTGATGAAACAATCTTCACTTCAGTATATAATAGAGCGAGAACGTTTCACATAAAGGGCGGAGTTCCGGACAACAGACGTCGTGACATGGAATAAATTTCATTGTGATTACACTCACGTGCAACGTAATGTTAACAAATCAGTCTTCTGGAAGAGTTTTTTGATACCAGTCTGACTTGACCCTTAAGTCTGATCGAATTTGTAACATTGATAATTAGGAGCTTTTTAGCCGTCTCTAGGAAGTCCTTTCTGGGATGTCCTCAAAGTTTTAAAGTGATTTTAAATCAGGCAAATTATTAAAATAATACTTGACCAAAATTTTTAAGTTGAAAAACACTAAATTAGTCATAACAAATCAACAAGAAAAGAGATATCTACGGTTAAGAAAAATTGAGACATAAAAAGCAACGAACTTGCAAATATATTTAGAATATATTTTTAAATGGCAAAAATAAAACAAGAACAAGAATAAGAACAACGATCGCGTAAGATTTAGGTTAAATGCTGCAAGATTCGCAAAATATGACGTCGCCCAGTTGTCTTCCTGTATTGTGAAACAGCGTTAAGGAACTCAAAAACTAATTACATTCGTGTAAAATGCTGTTAATTGAATCTGTACGACATTTTTGACCACAAACCATTTAACAAGTAGCAAAGCCACTCTTCCGTTCTAGTTTCCTTTCATTGACCTCAGAGTCGCAAGAAACGTCAAAATGGGTGTTCCCTACACAAAAGATTCCCCTAATCTAGCATTTCACGTCCATCGGAACTTCTAACTGAAACCTGCTATCACCTGAATATGTAAAGGAGAAGAGAACTTGTAGTGCGACGCTTTTGTTTCTTTTCTGCCGCAATATTCAGCGCTTAAACTGACTGACAGAGTCAATTCAACTCCACAGTGGTAGTTTTACGAAAATTAATTTTTCAGAATATCGTTCGGAAGCCTTCTCAATCTTCCCCAGTCTTAAACATCCTTGGTACTTTCTGATACGTGACTGTTGGGGTAGTTTGTTTAAGGAAGTCACAACAGTCAAATTCACCATGCACACAAACGTGAATTATGAATATCACTGAATGGGCTCATTTCAGTTCCCCTGTGTTTTATCGATCAGACAAGTTTTTCTTCGTGAATGATCTAACACTGAATCCGACCGACCAATGACAATCTAATTTTCGTTTTCACGACACACAGCCTGGCTCTCCTAGATATTCCCAAAAGGTCCCGCAGAACTCAAACATGTTTTTATTATGAGTTGAAAAGTCAGGTTTTGAAAGAATATTTGATGACTCATACGAGTAAGATGTCATTTTATGTCCAGTCTGTCTGATACATAGTGTTTTGTTAGTACGCAGGCAATTTCACCGCCGTCACTGTGTAAATACAAAGGAATGAGTTTGCTACCAAAAATTGAATGCTTCCTTCAAGCGGGCTGGCTTGGAAACAACAAATAAACAAACAAACAAAAAATACAATAGCAACAATGGGTCATTTCTGAGTTGCCTTTTGCCTTTGAGTCAAAACAAGTCTTCGTGCGAAAACATTCATACGACAACGAGTTCCGCCTTCAGGTTGATTTTCATGCAAATCAAACTTATTTTCAAAGGTTTTCCACGAAGACTCGTTTTGAAACAGAGGCACAAGGTAACTCGGAAATGACGTAACCCCTTTCTAGTACCAGAGGGCTGAAGGAAGGATATTCCCTCGGTCACTTAAAGCAATCACCTCTTTTTCTCAAAAGCATAATATTTTAAAGGAGCTTTCTGCTATTTACAATTCAAATTTTTTTTCTGTCCCAAACCGCGTTCTGCCAGGTGAGGGTATCTTACGCATGTGCACGTGACGTTACGTAGAATAGCATGGTTTCTAATCAAGTTAACTACTAAAGGGGCTTTCATCAACAAAGGATTAAAGAAAACGCATAATTCACACTCGGTACAAACTGGCCCACACAGCTAGGACTTGCGTTTCTGTACTGCAACCCCCACTGCGTGAGATGCTAGTCTAACGCCAGGTCACCCCCCCCCCCTTCCCCTGCCATGTCTCGCCCAAGAATACTTAACAACTATTCTACGAGCGCGCGTTGGATATGAGATGGTAGATAGTCAACGAGGCGCATAGCGCCGAGTTGGCTATAATCATCTGATATCCTACAAGCGTGACTGGAATAATTGTTTTATTAAAAAAAGCCCCCAAAATATAGAAGACTAAAAGAACAAAACAATAAAAACGCACAAAATATCACGCGTACGCTAACCATATTTGTAGAGCATGCTATAATTATCAAGGAGACCCGTAGCCCGTGGCCCTTGAGGGCGAAGGGTCTAATTGTTTTAGTATCACCCAACTAGTCGGACAGAAAAGGTAA